CATTGTTATGAATGTTCACGCTCCAACAGAAGATAAAATTGATGACATAAAGGGTAGATTATATGAAGAATTAGAACATGTATTTAATAAATTCCGGAAGTACCCTATGAAAATTTTGTTAGGAGATTTCAATGACAAAGTAGGGAACCAACAATTGGGAATGAGAGTTTGCATGAAATTAGTAATGATAATGGAGTTAGAGTTGTAAACTTTGCCACATCAAAAAATCTTACTGTCAAAAGTACAATGTTCCCACATCGTAACATCCATAAATTTACTCGGACATCTCCTGATGGGAAGATACACAATCAAATAGACCATATTTTGATAGATAGGAGACGGCACTCAAGTATACTTGATGTCCGATCATTCAGGGCAGCAGATTGTGATACTGACCACTACCTGGTGGTGGCAAAGGTTAGGGAAAGACTGGCAGTGAGCAAACAAACAACACACAGAGTTCATATGGAGAGGTTCAATCTCAAGAAATTAAATGAGGTAGAGGGCAAAGAGCAGTATTGTGTTGAAATCTCAAATAGGTCCACAGCTTTGGAAAACTTGGAAACAGGTGGATATTAATTGGGCTTCGAAAACTATTAGAGAGAATATAAAAATGTCTGCCAAAGAGAGTCTAGGTTATTATGAACCGAAGAAGCATAAGCCATGGTTCGATGAAGGATGCTCAAAATTATTGGATCAAAGAAAGCCGGCCAAATTGCAATGGTTACAGGATCAAAGCGAGTTAAATGGGATAATCTGAACAATATGAGACGTGAAAGCAGCAGTCATTTCAGGAACAAAAAGAGGGAATATCTGAAAGACAAAATTGATGAGCTTGCAATGAACAGTAAGAACAAGAATATTAGAGACCTATATAGAAGAATCAATTACTTTAAGAAGGGTTACCAACCTAGCAGTAACTTAGTGAAGGATGAGAATGGTGATCTGCTTGCAGATTCCCACAACATTTTGAATAGGCGGAGGAACTACTTCTCTCAGTTATTGAATGTAAATAGGGTCAGTGCTGTTAGACAGACAGAAATCCATACAGCTGAGCCATTAGTACCTGATCCTAGCTCTTTTGAGGTTGAAAGTACTATTGCAAATTGAAACCGTATAAATCGCCAGGTAGTGATCAAATTCCGGCAGAACTTATTCAAGCAGGAGGAGAAATATTGCGTTCTAAGATTCACAATCTAATTACTTCTATTTGGCACAAGGAAAAATTTCCTGATCAGTGAAAGGAGTCTAGTATTGTACCAGTTCACAAGAAGGGTGATAAAACTGACTGTAGTAATTATCGATGGGATATCACTGCTGTCAACTTCATACAAAATTTTATCCAATATTCTTCTCTCAAAGTTAAGTCCATATATAGATGAAATTATTGGGGATCATTAGTGTAGGTTTCAACATATCAGATCAACTACTGATCAGATCTTTTGCATTTGTCGGATATTAGAGATGAAATNCAGATATTAGAGAAAAAAATGGGAGTACAATGAGACAGTACATCAGCTATTCACAGACTTAAAGAAAGCCTATGATTCAGTTAGGGAAGTGTTGTACAAAATTCTGATAGAGTTTTGGATACCCATGAAACTAGTTAGGTTGATTAAAATGTGTTTAAACGAAACGTATAGTATTACATATTACATTTTTGGATCATATTTTAGGTCATCTTCTGGATTTTTCTGTCATTTTACAGGTCATTTTTTTAAATATTTTAGGGTCATCAAAATCCGGGCCCGGGTAATGAGGCACACATTTTCACCTATCCGGATATGTCAACAAGCAGAATATGCGCTATTGGAGTGGT